TTGGTCGATGTGGCATGGTTTGACCCACATTAGGGTGGTCCAAAAAAAAGTGATGTCGGGATTTTAATGCTCTCACCCCCTAGGATTGTTCCATACCGAAAAAGTTGAACCCCTGTTATTTTTGCAAAAAATATTTAGAGGTCCCTCAAAGCGCTCAAAGTTTCCATGTATTTTATATGGGGAGAAAAATTTTTCTTTTGAAATAAAATTCTTGAAAATCGATATTATTCGATCGGAAAGCTTTGTTTCTCTTCGGGAGACTTTCAACACATAATACCGAATTGTTTATTTAACTAGGTTTTTACATTAACTATTTTTGTAGGGGCCCCTAAAAACTACAAAAAATGCCCATAAAAATCGCTGGTATTTAAAAATGGTAAAATAAAAATTTGGTTATTATTTTTTTTAGACTCCTGAAGAGAAACAAAGTTTTCCGATCGAAAAATATTGATTTTCCAGAATTCCATACCATTTCTACGAAAAATGGTTTTTTCCCATATAAAATACATGGAAAATTTGGAGCGCTTTGAGCGAACTCTTAATATTTTTTTGATTTCAATATAACAACAAATAGGGGTATAATTTTTTTTTGGTAAAGAACGATCCTAGGCGTTGAGAGCATTAAAATTCCGACTTTACTTTTTCACATGCATATTTGGGCCACCCTAATATACATGCATAGGCATACTTTTTTGCTTGCAAACCAAATTACTTAGTTAACACATCATTTTTTTTAATGAATTTCATTGCAATTCAACGATTGCTCATTTTTTTCGTGCTTATCATTCCAGCACCGCGTCAGCTTTCGCCTACGCTTGCCGCGACAGCCACACCACCAATCAGCATATCCAACATTGGCGACAGCAGCGATGAGCCGAAAACGCCACAAAATCCACCCAGAACGGATGAGGAAATCGGTGAGTGTTATGCCAGAAAATTCGAAATGCGACGCAAGCAAAAACCTCCTCCTCCGCTGCATACGCACCAAATCAAACCCAACTCCAAATCCATATCCCATTGCGGCAAAGCAACCGCCCTCCTTTCACAATATTCCCATCAATTTTGTCGCCATCATCATCAACGTTTTAGCGTTTTGAATGCAGATTTTGTTGTTCGTTTATGTTCGATTTTAACACATTACATAATTCGTCGCCTAAATTCGAAACTATTTAAGATGTCAATGCGATAATTTGCATTTTGATTGAATGATTACTAAAATACGAGTACTTACATGCATATCTTTGTATTTATTTTTCCCCCTTTCATTTTGGAAATCCATAAATTACCAATTTATAAAATTATGCGCCAAAATATATTTTTAAGTAAAATTATTTATTTTAACTAAATGGAATGCAAATTTATAATTTTTTGAATTGATTCGACTTATTTTGCATTTATATACATATTTGTTTTTTTTTTTTAAATAACATGGCACGTTGTTGTTGTTGCGCATGCTATGTAAACATATATATATATATATATAATATTTGTTGTTGTTGTTGTGTTTTCTACTATTTACTTATTTACTATTATCAACAGCCGCATACATACATATGTATCTACTAAGCTTCTAATACATACACATCCATACATACATAACTAATATGTACTACATAATACATTTTTTTTTTTTTATTATTTAAGCAATATTGCTCTGATTTCGCACAAACATACAAAAATAGTACAAAGAAAAGTATGTTTTTTTTCTTTCATTTATTTTTAATTTTTTCTACTCATTTCTGGGTTTGTTATTAACTCATAAATTAACCATACGGGTACCACAGCCACTGCGGCAGACGAAATGCTCGTGCATATAACCGATTACTCAAAACATGATATGTAACATTCATGTATACATACATATGTATAAATGTACGTACATTAGGGAGCATCACTTTCCATATAAAAATAAATCGGTACTTTTTTCTTTTCTATCGGAAATATAAAATTTATTGCATTTTATGACCTTCGCCAAAATATTTCGGTAAAATATTGCAATTTACGTGAGCTAGTCCTATTTGAAAATACCTCCAAAAATCTAGTTTTTTATAACTAAAATTAGTTTTTAAAAATATTTTTTCTAAAAAATCACCTCATATGATAGAAGAATGCAAGCTTAGAAGGGTTGCATAAAAATGTCTAAAAATTGTATCGAGGGCATCAAAGTAATAAGACTTTTTGAGTTATTTTCAAATCGGGCCAGATCACATACATCTTTTATTTTTCCAAAAAAATTTGGCATATGTCTTACTGCTGGTTTACCGAAAGCAATTTAAGTGAAAAATTATTTAAATTAAATTCAAATTTTTCAAAAAATATTTAATTAAATTCAAACAAAAAAAAACATGTTTCACTTAAATTGCTTTCGTGAAACTGGCTATTAATAAAAATATATATTTTTTTTTGAAGATTCACCCTAATGCACATATGTACATACATATGTATATTATGCATTTGTGCGCATGTTTATGCTAGCGGTTGCTAATAAAAATGCAAAAATGAGAATTGGATTAATACAACAAAATTTTTTTTGCAAATCTTTGCATTTTCCCGATTCGTTTATTGTTTTTCAATTATTATCATTATTTTTTATTATGCTTCCGTCTTATTTTAATCGGCGCAATTTCTTGTTATGTGAACAAGAAAAATTTCGTTACGTGGTATCAGTGCTTGCAAAAAGAATGCACATACTTACATACATAATACATACATACATACATACATACACACTGTGTACCGACACGTCGCACAGTGCCTCCCCTTCCATATAAAATGTGGGCACAAATAGGATTGTGGACGGATTTGAATGAACATTTGTTTCTTAATGAACTTGAGAGCGCTGAATTCAAAAATGCGCATTGGTTTTTGGATAACTTGCATGCCTCCACTGTAAATGCAGTTTTAAGTTGAAAATTTGGGTTTTTGTAGCATTTATATAGGTATTTACATATAATTCGCTCTATTTTAAAAAGAGAGGTGTCCAATGACAGGGCCTGGCCTGTAGATGTGCAGTAAAGTTTTAATTTTTTGAAAAGGGTTGCCACCTGTTACAAATTTTATTAAAATCAATTAATAAGTTCAATGAATTAGATATTACAATAAGGATATCAATTGAAATGGTTTTGAAAATGCTTTACTTCTAAAAGATACGTAGAAATGTTGCCACATGTTTAAAAGATCAAATTCAGTTTAATTAAGGGAATAAGGTCACTGTGAAATATGTATATCAATATGGATATCTGACACAAGAAAAAATTAGACATATTTACCAAGAAATAAGTGAAGAGTAAAAACATTCCTGAGTTAATTTAAGAGTCTAGTAATTTAAAAGGAATGTAATCAGAACACAACACTGATTGCTAATGTATGTATTTGTAATAAAATAACAAATATGATGTCGTAGACCTTTGGTTTGACTCAATTATTATTTTATTATTTGACTTTACACACAGGTGGCAACCCTCTTCAAAATATTTGTAAGCTGTAACCTTCTTAAACCTCCAACTACCATATGGTCATACCTATGCAATTCAATTACCTAATTCCCGTAGGTCGAATGGAATTTGATTTTTTAAACTGGTGGCAACCCTGCTGCATGTAGTTAAGAAATAAACCCTTTTTATCCACATTTCGATTGATACCAATATTTTAATAATTCATTTAACTCAATTAATTTGAATTAAACTTTTTAACAGGTGGCAACTCTAAAAAATAAACCTTTATTTTAAATCAAAAGGTCAAGCTTTTTAATCTGTCACCTCTTTTTTGAAAATCGAACGATTCGTGCGTCGTGGCGCTGACAAGAAATGAAAAAATTATTTTATGCATTAGCAAAAAACGCATTTCAAAAAGAGCAAAAAATTATCAGCTTTTTATTTTCTATTTTGCAAGCAAAAAAATCGTACTATTAGATAAACTAATAAAAAAACTTACTTTTGCATATATTTTTTATTCATTCCATTAACAGGTATATTCTGCACGTTACCGAAAATTTTGTAACCGGAAAATTTTGTTACCAAAAAATTTTACCTGTTCTTGTCACCGGGATGCGTGAGGTACGTTGGTAATGCAGTTAAAATATTCAGCAATTCAGCTATGCGGAATTGTGAAAATTCTGGCATTGCATATTTCACGGGGCAATACTTTGTTACTAGCTTATGAGATGGTAACAAAATTTACCGGTTACAAGAGTACACAGAATGCGAAATGGGTTTAAAAATTGACAGGAAATTTATTTACCGGTTACAAACTTTTTATTACCAGCGCAGAATAGGCCTGTTAGTATAAAATTAATTTACGTAACGTAACCTAATATATCGGCCAACGCAATATATTTTTCTTCAGGAATATTTTGATGGGGATTATGAGCTGAAAAGTTAAGTAAGAGTTAAGGCATTTGTCGATCCAATCGAATGATGATTCCAAATACTACTGGGTATTTAATATTTTCACACACAAAAGTCAGTCGGCATGGCATTGACGTTTTCATAATTGTATTTTTTTTTTTTCAGTCGTGTTTTGATGTGTGCTAAATTATTGTCTTCCAAAATTTTTACTTTAAAACATTTGGTTATGAAATTTTTGCATTTCACTCGCATATAATGAAAAGAATTCTGGACGATTTTATTTATAGCAGAAAACGACAAAATTTTAAACAAAAGTTGCAGTGAGTGCATTGCGGCATTTCTCAGCTAAAGTAGTATAGCTTATCAAAAAATTGTTGCATACACAATAAATGCGTATAGGATAACGGAATTTGTATGTATGTTTGTCTAAGTTTAATGCAAAAAAAAATTAAACAAAGCGTTCAAACTAAAGCGATAAGCTACAGAGCAAAAGAGCTGGGCGCAACGCTAAAAGTGACGACGACAAATTGAAAGGGCAGTTTTCTTTCTTTATATTTGCCAGCTGGCGATAAGCTTGGAAGGGTTTATGGCATTGCATTTTGTAGCGGCGGACGCATGCTGATTTTATGAGTTATTCGATATGAATTCCCTAAGTGGTTCTTTTTTTATTTTTATTTTTTTTTTATGCAACTGGTGAGAACTGGAGTTTTAGAATTTCGTTGATTAAAGTCAGTTGTGATTGCCGCATGAAAGCGAGTTGAATAGTACTTTTAAAGATTCTCAAGAAATATCGCGGAAGAGCTTTTCGAAAAAGAAAACCCAAAAAGTGTAAATATTTTTTCCATTTAAATAGTTTAGTAATGCGCGAGCGATCGTTGAATTTTCATCAAAAAAAAATAAAAATTAAGGTCATTTCAGAGTTAGGTAATTTTGTTAGTTTAAAGCAGCACAACAACAACAACAATAAATGCAAAGTTAATATCACATAACAAATAGTATTCGTCGTGCAGCAAGTATGCGTACGAAAATAGCAACGATAACAGCAACAACAACAACAACAACAACAACAACAAATCCCTGCAATCCGCTCAAAACTAAGCCACGTAGGTAGTTGTAGACCTCTCATCGACACATCATTTAAAGACTAATGCAATTTTGTTTTATCTTTCAAAAAAAAACTATTCTACGCACTTCATCGCTTCTGGCTAAGCGCAGAGCCTACATCGCTACCAGTATCCGAGCGGCTACGCTTCTTCACCAACCTCGCCGAGGCGGCCAACCGCAGCGCTTCCAATTCCTACACACGCAGCCCACCGCAGCGCTATCTCTCCACCGACCGCTGTGGCAGCGCCAACTCTTACACCAACCAAAATTCGTTCACATTCACGCCTCGCAGCAGCTATAACGGTAGCGGCAGCACTAGCAATAGCAGCGCCAGCGTCACGCCCACACCCATGGAGTGCTATTCGCCACCGCTATTGGAGCCACAACTTATTTCAATTAACGAAATCGATTCAGCGCTGCAGATGGAGGAGCATAACGACGATGAGTTGGTGGAAAGCGCATATAGGTCATCGCACCAGACTTCAGCATTCATCAAGTTGACCAAGTCAAGCTCACAAACATTACTACCATCGGTTTTGGCGCATCGCTTGGACATGTCCGCGCCAGCTCCTGCCATGGCGCCGACTGTAGCTATGACTTCGCCTGCTGCGCTAACGCCTGTTGCGCGCCGCATCAAAATGAAGAGCATTGGCAAGCTGCTTTTGCCGCAGACGTTCCTCAACAATGAGCGCAATTGCAATCAGCACAACAATAATAACAATAGCAGCAGCAACAACAACAACAACATGAGTGGTAGTCACATGATGGCTAACGGCAGCAACAACGACACCTGCGATAGCGAATGCAGCAGCATCGATTTGGGCAGCAAGCCACCGCCACAGCTCAAGAAAATTGGCAAAATAAAGTCACCATTCATTGAGAATTGCCTGCAGATGCAGCAGAAGCACCACCAGCTGAACTCGAAGTGCATGAAATATGATCACAAATCGACGCCGCACAACAACGCGCTCGCCGCGCTGGAAAATAATGTCGCCAATGGGGGTGGCGGTGGCGGTGAGCGCGACGTCAATTCGTTGCCGCTCAGCAAATCGCTTCAGAATGGTAATGCGGCACAGCTGGCGGCACGCGTGAACAGCAACGAGGACAACAATGCAGACTCTGGCAAGGAGAATAACTACTGCGACACACAGCATACAGCGCCGCTGTTAATACTTACACCAAGTGCCTCCTCTATTGGCGTGACAGAGCAAACGCGCTCGCCCGTGGTGGAGATGCGCAAGAAGTTTTCGCGCATAATGAGCAATGCTTCGTTGTCGGCGTTAATGTTACAGCGTCACACCACACACGCTGTTAGCGGCGCAAATGATAGCGGCAGCGCCGCCATCAAGTTAAACGGCAGTGCTAACAACAGCTGCAGCAGCAGCAGCAGCGCGCCTACAACGCCGCGCAACTCGATTATAGACGAAAAGTTTGCTAAGTACTTTGGACTCACATCCAACGCAGGCAGCCACAATCAGCGGGCGTCAACCGCAGCTGCAAACAATAAAGCAACCTCCAACGGCAGTGCGCGCCTACTGGACGCTGGCGAAAAGAGCGCTACGCTGCGGAGCGCGCCAAAGTATCCATCGCTACCGCCACCAGATTTTTGTCACACAATGAATGGCGCCTCCTTTGTGAGCGTACTAACGCCAATGGAAACCAGTAGTGCCGCGCACTCGACACCGCTTGAGGCGGTCAATCAGCATGTGCGTAGCAGCACGAATACACCATACTACACACCGCCTACGGCGAGCAGTTACGAGACTACCAACGGCAGCGCTGCTGGGCATGCGGCATTGAGCGTGACATCGACTACCGCGTCGCAAAGGCGCCGCGACATGGCGAAACGGCAGCGCGCCAACACAACTAACGTCACTTTCACGCCCACTTCAAGCGTTCAAGCGGCAACGAGTGCACAGGCGCATGCAGTTACACCGAGCGCAGGACGCGCGCGTGTATTGCGTGCGCGTGCGCTAACACTGACACATGGCGTACCGTTGCCGGAGGTAAAACGTTTTGAGGATATTGTGGTGACTAAAGAAGAATTTCAATTGGCGTCCAAAGAGTTTGAGCGTATATTCTTGGGTATCAATTGAGCGCGCAAGGAAGTGAGTTGAGCGCGCGTGTGCGCTGGTATGCAAAGAATGCTGATTAGTCAATGAGCAGAGTCAGAAAAGCAGTCTAGGCGTTGAATGTGGCGAACTGTGCGCCGACGACAGTGTGGAATGTTTTGCTTGCCAAAAGGATATAGAATTTAAAATTTATAATACATATATTGTTAAACTATTATTAAATTCAAAATTAAATCTATTTGCGAAATTCGAAAAATAGTGAAAAATTTATGATGCGAAAAACCAACAGCAGAAAGTAAAACCAAAAAAAGAAAAAACTGAAACAAAATCAAAATCAAAAAGCAAACAAAAACCATGAATTTGAAGTTGGCAAATTAGTAGCTGAGTTTTGTAGGGCAGGGCTATGTTTAGACGATGAAATGTGTGTGAAATTTTTAGGTATTCGTATTAGTTTGGTATCTGAATCCTCGCAAAAGATTTATTGTCGTACGATATAGTTTATTTCGAAGTCAAGTCACCTGCGCATGGTAGTTTAAAATGTAAAGTGAAATATTTTTTCACTGCGCTTTCGAACTCAATCGGACTACACCTAAAAGTATGCAATGCCTTTTTTGCGTAAAGCTTTTGATTCACGCGAAAATGTCACTTGGTTTCGTAATATGTACTCGTATATGGTTGGGCGTAAATGCGAATTTTCTATGTTTTGATTAAAACATTCTGAAAAGCATTGCTTTTTTCACAAATAGGGGCTTTTTGCTTCCTTTTATCCTGAAATTACTTAAAATTTTTCGTTTCACACGAATAAATTATTTATTTTTAAAATCTTTTTGTCGAAATTTGTTTTTTTTTTTTTTGTGAAAATATTAATCCTCTAAAATTTAACAAAACTTTTTTATTGCATACGTATGTGTGTATTAGAAAATTTTGTTGAAAAAAATTGATTTCATACATTTTTTGGAAATAGTAACGAAAAATTTTAAAAAGAAAATACTTTCCAAATTTATTAAAACTTGTTTTTTGTAAAAACTTAAATTAATTTAAACAAAAAGTTTTCTATTTATTTAAAAAAAATCGAAAAAATACATGCCCAATACTCGCTTGAAGAAATCGCTAATATTGCCACACAAAGAAATTTTTGCTTCAAAATTTTATATTTTGCTTCAAAATTTTATGTTTTGCGCTCATTACACTTAAACGAATCGCAAATATGTTTTAATGTACCATTAGAAAATTAGAAAAAAAAATGGTTTCGAAAAATTTCCACCAACAGGACTCTTGTCTTAGCGCTCTGCAATTGTATTTAGAGCGGAAGCAAGCGTCCAGGTGAAGCAAAAAAGTGAAATAGGGTTGGTCTACTCATTTGCTGTTGCAGACTACGAAAAAATATTTGTTTTTTATTAAATATTTTTTTCTTTGCGTTTGCTGCTATGCATTTTTTGATTAACTATTTCGACTACCACAACCTAAAGCCTTAAACGAAAAAAAAATAAATTTTACGAACTTGAGTGAAAATTTTGATAAACGCTTTAAGATTTCATTCATTTAATGTGAAGCGAATAGAAAATCCAATAAGGTAGCAATCGAGAAACATTTAATAAAACAAAATAATTTTGCTATGTAGTTATTACTAGCTAAATATGCGCGAGTGTTATCGAAATGCAACCATGTGTTAATTACTTAGATTGAAAAATATTAAGCTGAACGATTAAGAAAATGTTCTTGTACTTGTACACACATATTTGTAACGAAAAACGTTAAATATTATAAATATAATTATTACTTTTTTTTAGTTTTTTAGTGTTCTAGTAAATTGTCATTATTTAAAACTACTTCATAATTATAACTGATGTATTGTATTCTAAAAAAAGGCGCATAACAACTTTTGATGGGAGTATGCGTTAGCTGCTTTAGCGTTTTTTTTTTTAAAGACCTTAAACTCCTTATGCTGTGTTCAAATAGTCGGCTAAATTGAGTTATTAAATTTCGTGTTCACTCACAATAAATTTATGTAGATTAGTAATCTCACAGGCACATCATAGTAATTAACTGCCGTCAATTTTGAATTTTTATTATCTGTTTTAAAAATGAATTTTATTTCATTTTTTATTTGTCGCGTATTTAATCGGCATCCGCTATTTTATTTGAATATTTTTGCGTTTCTTAACCAAGTCTTACAGTTTTGAGTGATAACCTTTACTCAATATAATAATTTCAATTATTTGTTGTTTTTAAATTGAGTTCGTTTAATTTACCTTTAGTTTCCTAATCGTTCAATTTAGCTGGCCATCTGAACTTAGTATTATCCATAGAAAATTAAATTGGTTTTTAGATGCTTTATAAAGTAAATTAGCATTTAAAATTTTATTTTGGTATAAATTTGGCTGTCAGTGCATGTTTTGCTCAACTTCGTATGTGTAACATTTTTATTAACACTTTGAACGCACTTGTGCTTTAAAGCTTAGACATTCAAAGCACATTTATGTTCGCTTAAACTATTATTAAATTTAATTGATACCTAAAATGTTTACTAGTGCACAGACTTTAAAAAGAAGTGAATTTGCAAATAATAAAAAAATACGAATTTAAGCTCACTTAACGTAATGAAAAATAACTTAACGACTAATGCTTAACCCTTGGCAACACAGATTATAAATATGTATGTATACGCTGTGCAAGCTTATTTGTCAAATTATAACAAAAAAAAAAAAATCTAAATATATTTTTAAACCCCAAATACAAGTGAATTTAAGATAAACATACATATGCAAAGTCAACAAACTTTAAACATTACAACTGAAAATAATTTAAAATTAACTAGTTTATCTAATATTTGTTTTAATTGTATTGTAATGGTGTTAATAGACAAACCTAGCAGAATCTAACTTACCAGGTATCCACATATATATTTAACATACAACTTTGTCTACGAGTATTAAGTTTTTTTGTTTTGTAAATGCATTTAAACGCTTATTAATCACGGTTTTTTTTTATGCATAACTTTTTCAGTTTTTATGTTGCTCTCTGTATTGTTATTGTGTATGTATACATACGTTGCGCTTGTATGCGTCAAATGTTATTAAATTTGCGTTGTTGCTTTGTTCACTAACTATGGAAAATTCAAAAAACAAAAAAGTGCAACTTAATAACTACAAAAATTATGCCTTCATTTACATACAAACATACTACATGAAATGAAGTTTATAATTAGTAGTTGAAAAATATACTTATGAATATGAAATATTTTATGCGACCCTAATAAGTGCTGAATACTTATATTTACATACCTACATATATATACATAAATTACTAAATAGTTACATTCCTTTATACACAAATATTTACAGTTATTAATTTTAAATAATAATGCAGCATGAAAATCTGCTATTTAAGTTTTCAATTTTTAATTATTTTCTTTTTCGTTATTTACCTTAAAACTTTATTAGCTAGTAACTGATGTATATTTTATGTGCATATTAATCGATATTCAAGCGAAAATGTTAGCGAGTTGAAGTAAATAAATGATATGAAGTATTAAATTTAACAGATAAACTATTTTTTTGGTTTTTAAGATTTTTCGAATCTCAAAAAAATTGAGACACATTTTTGCAGACGTTTTTTATGAGACGAAATAACGGCAGTTTCATCAAATTAATAATAAAAATTTATAAACTGAATTAAATTTTTTTTAATGTACAAGATATACCTATCGTCGTTTAAAGTACAAAACCGCATATAAAAAAAAAAAATGCAAAACCGCGTATGTGAGGTTGCATAAATTATTTTCTAGAGTAAAAATACTCATATCTCAAAATGGTTCTCTCTTTTTTTATAAAGCAATCGCATTAATTAAGCCAAGAGCTTGTGTGAGCAAATCCAATTTTTGGCAAAAAATGTCAGTTACGCGGTTTTGCAGAGCAACGAAACGCGGTTTTGTACTTTAAACGACGATATGTATATGAAAAAAATACATAAAGATTAAAAAACAAATTAAGAAGAAAGAATAAATATCAAAACTACAAAAGGAATAAAGTGAAAAAAATTCATAGAAAAGTAAATGGAATAAAATATGAATAAAATAAAATAAAAATTGCGAAAAATTTAATTTAAAAAGATTTGAAATAAACAAAAAAGAAATGAAGTAAAGAATGAAGGAATAAAATGAAAATAAAACCGCAAATTATAAAAGGTCTATTAAAAATCATATAAAATATTAAATAACATATAATGAAAAATTAAAAAAAAATATTTGGGTAAAATAAAATGAAAACAAAATAAATTAAAACTAAATAAGCAATATAAAAGATAAAACAAAAGATATAAAATAATGAAATTTAAAATGAGAAAAACCATGGAATATACAAAGTATGAAAAAAACTAGTTATAATTAAAATAAAGCAATAAAACTACAATAAAATAAAATAAATTAAAATTAAAACCAAATAAAAAAAGGTTAAAAACAAAATAAAAATATAAAACAATAAAAAGCTACAAAATTAAAAAGAACCATGAAAATATATAAAAAACTTTTGTGGAATAAAATAAAATAAACAAGAATAAAATAAAATAAAAGAAAACCAAATAAAAAATAAAAAAGATGAAATAAAAATTATAAAATAATATAAATTTAAGGAGAGAAAAATCATACACTAACAGCCGGTTTCGCCAGTAATTTAAATGGAAAATGATTTTTTATTTTCTGCTAATTTCCATACAAAATTCAAAAAATTAAAATCATTTTTCACTTGAATTGCTTTCGTGCTTTTTTCAAGTAGGTTTCAAAATTTATCTGCCCTTCAAACACATTTTTTCCGAACAAAATTTGTGTTTAAAAGGAAATATAAGAAAACCATTAAATGAAATAAAATAAAATAAAATGACACAAAAATTTAGTAAAAATTAAATACGTTAAAATAAACTATCGCAAATAATAAAATATATGAAAAAGTTAAAATAAAAAAATGTGGGTGAAATAAAATAAAATGACAACCAAATAAAAAATATAAAGATTAAAAAAACAAAACCTATGAAAAATTATGAAATATGCAAAATATGAAAAATACGATTAACTTAAGCTAGCTAAAGNAAACCAAATAAAAAATATAAAGCAAAAAAAAAACTTAAAAACTAAAAATAAAAAAAAAACAAAACCTATGAAAAAATATGAAATATGCAAAATATGAAAAATACGATTAACTTAAGCTAGCTAAAGCATAAATAAATAAAAATGTCAACAAATGAAACGAAAAAAGTTTTATTGGCTTCTACTGATTTGTTCAACGCGTAAAAATCGGATAAATCAGCAGAAAACTTTAAAATATAATAAAATCGATTTGCAATACAAGCAAAACTGTTGGATTTTTTAGCGAACACTGGGTGAGCATTTAAATTAGTTGGCAGCCCTGGTCTGTGGCTACATATTCGCGCCAAGCATGTGTCATACTTTACTTTGCGCCTTAAAGTAGGCACTGATTATTAAGCAGCCATGCCAGCAATCACCTGCTGTACTATGCTGGTCGCCTGGTATTTTTCATGAATATCGACTAAGAAAAGTTTGCGCAACAAATTTTTTTTACCGATCGCGATCATCGATATCGTTCGATATAGACACATCGATGGATAATACTTACTATATGTATTATTAAAAAAGGAAACTGAAGATTAGAAAATGGCAAATGTTTAGCGATATTTCAGTGCTACACGCGTAAATATATACAATATTAACGCTACATTTCGTTCGAGAGGCACTTTTGCATGGGAAACCAATATTATGGATTTTGGCTTGAAGGTCATAACAGGAAAAATTCATATAATTTGGCATAATAAAAGTCGTGAGTAATTATTTTGAGTTTGTATGCATTTATTTTTTTTATTTTATTTACACGCATTAAATATTTTACAAATTTTGTTTTTAATTTTTTTGTATGTTAATAACAAAGCATGTGTTAGGAACTTACACATGTAAATGCAAGCCAACATCATTCTCAAGCATAATAAAGAACACCCTCTACACCATTCATCATTAAACATTACATTTCCTTTAATTATGATAAAATTTTCACCTTTCTCTTCCGCACAGCAGCTTCCCACCCACCAATAACAACTAAGTCGGCTTTCGAGCCGCCACCACCGCATGTTAAAGGCATACTAAAATCGAAATCCGGCTGTGTTGGCTTCATGCCCATGGACTTGAGTTCCGAGCTAAAGAATCGACTGAAGAGCTCAACACATGCCTCTGTATCGAATCTACGCAAATCGGCAACAATGCATGATGCCACGCGCACAAAACAAAGTGGCGAGGAGCACACTACCGCACCAAAACACGACGATGCACTCAGCCTGGTGCGTAACCTCTCGAATTTAGGGCGTCCACCAACGCTTGGTGCAGCAGGAGGCGGCAGCAGTGGCAGTGGTGATGGCGGCGGTGCTGCGGGCTTGAGAGCTGCTGCTGATACGATCGCGTCAACGTCGGAAGGTGAAAGTTCGGGCGGTCGTGAAATATCGGAAATAATTAAAAATAGCGCAGTTGCACGTCGACGCAAGCTGAATGATGGGTGAGTTGTCGCCGCTGCCTGTGGATTATAGCGAAATTTGCTTGCATTTTCTAAATACTCGTACATACATAGAGTACTTGATACCGAAATTGAAACTAACTGCACTGCATTGCTGAAATGATGATTATTAACTCGTTCCGACTTACATATACATACATACATATTTTTAATTGAGTTATTTTAATCTTAGTTTTAAGTATAATATATACATATGTATGTGTGTATGTGCATACTTTTGCTTTCATACTAAATGTATGTATGTATGTACACATTCAGAGTACATGCATTTAAGTAAAAAATACAATATTTGTCAAATTTTTTGCTACATATAAATCTTCTAATGTAAATTTCAATATATACGTATGTAGTATGTATTTGTGCGAGTGTGTGTGTGATTAAATAAGGCCCTAATTCATTTGTGACATACCTAAGACGAGCTATTTGGCATGTGTGTTAATAAAAATAATAAAATTAAACTTTTGTACGTCATTCGTTTTCGTTTCACACTATTTTTTATATGAACATTTTACCCTATAATAGTTATGACTAACCGCTAGAAAAGTAAATACATGCCTTGTATGTAATTTCTAAATATCTCTCATTTTGCTGCTAATTTAATAAATACATATATTGCTTAAGATTAACATAAAACGTACTATAATAATAAAAGAAAATGTTTTAATATAAAATCGCAAAAAATATTTTTGGCACTAATTTAGTAATTACTGAAATAGGTATATATATTTACATACATACGAATTAATACATATTTGGATGTATATAATTATAATTAAATGCACATGAATTATTGCAAATTAGCTGCCAGCTGCAGGAATCGGAAATGACTATATACAGTTGTCCACAAAATAATAGGAGTGCGATATTTTGACCAGTTTTGGCTATTTGTCTTTTGTTTATTTAATGTTTATTGTTTTTTTATAAAAGCCTAGCTGGCTATACAACAAACACCATATAAATTCAGATTTTAAACTTTGTATAAAAATTATAAAAATTTTGCAATTTTTCACCCAAATTTCAAACTTTTTAATCAGAATCTTTAGAAAAAATTCTGGTATGCAGTTTTGTAGCACATTCAATTCTAGTCTGAAGAAGTGCAAGTTTCAAGCGGCTAAAAAATTCCGTTGATTTTTGGCAATTTTTTTGCTGGCAGTGTCCTCCATATAAAAGAAAATTGTCGACATACTTTGTATGGAAAAAACGTGAAACACCTTTAACCAAAAAAATTCTCAAAAATCAACGGAATTTTTTAGCCGCTTGAAACTTGCACTTCTTCAGACTAGAATTGAATGTGCTACAAAACTGCATACCAGAATTTTTTCTAAAGATTCTGATTAAAAAGTTTGAAATTTGGGTGAAAAATTGCAAAATTTTTATAATTTTTATACAAAGTTTAAAATCTGAATTTATATGGTGTTTGTTGTATAGCCAGCTAGGCTTTTATAAAAAAATAATAAACATTAAATAAACAAAAGACAAATAGCCAAAACTGGTCAAAATATCGCACTCCTATTATTTTGTGGACAACTGTAAATTTATTTATTTTTTGCTGAGGTTATTGAGCCTCTGTTTAAAATATGTCACTTGACCTGCTTGATGCGCAAGTTTTCTTCTAAATAATTGAAAATTCTGTAACGCAAAAATTTTGAATTTCTAGTCTGCAACATGAGCTGCACTTCTAAACAAACGCCTTCAAGCAGAGATTTTTCGATAAGATCTACCCTTTGGAAGCTGTATTAGAACATTTTCCAATAGTCCTGCCATATGAAGACAACGGAGGAAATGTGTTTTCAAATAAATGGAGCACAAATAAAAAGAAGAAAAATAAATGACTGCAGGGTCTAGGAATAGTTGTGCCAAGCAGGCTTGCAACTCTGCCCTTTCCACACGAAAAAATCCCCTTTTCATAATTTTAGCGGCGGGTTTTGTTGGTCTATATAATTTTTTCTTTTGTATTTAATATATCATTTTTAATAATTTAAGCACTTTTGTGAAACATTCTGGAATTCTAGAATATGAAGCTTATCTAAACAAAATACACCCGCCCATCCTGTCAAGAACTGATACACCCACGCTTCTCCAGATTTTAATCAAATTTTAATTCATAGCAGATTTTAGTTTTTTTTTGGTAATTGACAAATAATTGAGCACTTCTTTGGCTTATCTACAGTCTAACAAAAATAACAAAATTAACTAGTTCCACGAACAAAACGAACATAAGAAACCAATTTTGTGCAATAAATAATATAAAAATTAATATAAAGAACTATAATTAAATATCTTAAAAGCATACATTTCAATACATATGTACATAGTCACAAAGCTACAAACATATTTTCTAAACTTAACTAACAACAGCATTTGTACATTTTGCCGATTTTTCAAAAAACATAAACTATGCCAAAGCCCGTTATTTACAATCTTTTGTTTTTTGCTCAAAATCAGCAGCTACCTAGCTAAGGTGAAACCAACAGCAAAATTTTGGCCGTATCAATTTAAGCCACAACAACCACCTCCACAGCACGAACAAACTTGAACAATGCTTAAAATGTAACATAAGCCTGAAATGACAATGCCTAAACGTTCTTTGCGAGTCCTATACGAAAAATAAGTTTTCGATTTTTTCACGCTTAAAATAAATGAATATAAAAAATACCATTGTATGTGTAAACTAATTATTGTAAGAGTTTATGCAAATACATATAATGTAAAAAATTAAGGTTTTTAATATTAATTTGGATCATTTTATCTATTCTGTTATGTGTTANCACGACGGTTAACACATCTTGTGAATCCCCTAACTATGTAAAAAATGAAGGTTTTTAATATTAATTTGGATCATTTTATCTATTCTGTTATGTGTTACTGAGCTACTGATTTGCGTAAATACTGTTTTCGATTTACGAAGAAATAATAAAAGCTAACCTTTTTCGAAAAAATATACAAAATTGTGTTTTAATAGTACCTACATACGGTACATACATATGTACATAATTGCCTTCCAAAGCGTTGTTTAACTATTTTCTTTTTATAACTAACCTGCTGTAGCTAACTTGAATAAGTAAGCATGTAAGTTGTATGTAAAACTGAAGAAAGGGAATTATGAATTGTATAAGTAAACATTAGATTATTTAAGTGTGCATTCCTATATTGTAGCATACTTAATCATTAATTATACATACATATGCGTGTGGTAGACTAACATTTTCTCAGTTTTTGGCAAAATTAAAATTTAAGTTGCCTGTATTACATATCGATACCTGAGTGGAAGATCGACCTGTCTCGAAACGCCCTATCTCCGAAAACTTTGAAAGAACGCAAGAAGATAGAGTATTTTTCAGTAAAATTCAGAAGTAGGGCGTTCTTGAAAAGTTTTCTGAGATAGATAAATAATCGATTCAATTATAAACGTGTACGTAAACACGTCTGTGTTCGTATGGAATGGTAGCTTATGTCGAGAAGCTGGCTTTAGTATGATGCGGCATTCCCTTTTTATCTAAACCACACGGAATTTTTTGATGAGACTTAATAAGAATATTGACTATTGAATATTGATAAAAATATTGACTTGAGAGTATCGGAACTATTTCTTGCGCGTTTATTTGTCAAAAGTTACTTATCGAATAACAGATGAACATACCATTTAAGGCAAAAATCCCGTATATGTATGACATGCACCACGAAGATCGAACGCATGGGCTCCACCCGAATTTGATGAAACCTCGGCCTCAACTGGCATATTCGTCGGTGATTGTGTAGATGTCACCGATAGCAACGTAGTGAATTCGCAATATGGTGGCGTGCATTCCCCATCATATATCACTTGCTGTGAAATAGTTGTTGAATCTTCAAGCTGCAAAGACTCAGTATCAACATATTCTGAATTCAACTGTTGCACCAAATCCCCGTATTCCCTATTGTGTGGCGTAAATTTCCCATCATCTATCACTTGCTGTGAAATAGCAGTTGAATCCTCAAGCCCCAACGATTCAGTATTAACATTAATATAATCTGCTAAATTAGGCCCAGATTCTGAGTTTAACTGTCGCACCAAATCAACATATTCTCTATTCGCTAACTCCTCGGTATTCTGTGTGTTTCGAAGTGTATTAGCTTGCGTTTGACTTAATGGTTGCATTTGCACAATATCAGAAGGTGTTGAGTCAACTGTTGTACCATGCAATTCTGCCATTACAGCTTCTAAATCCATTACAGTTGAAATTATTGATCGCTGTGCGAACGCCTCGTTGGGCACTGCATTATGGTTTTCGTCTTCACTCAGTTCATTGGCATCGCATTGTTGCTCTTCAGTCTGTCGGCTTTTTTCCTCTTGCTTCCGATCATATTCCCAGACTTCTAGTCGCATCAAATTTTCTTTTTTGCGCTCACACCATTCCCTTTCCCGCTGCTTACGTATCTCCATGTCACTATAAAGGCACACATTTTTATGTCGTTGCACTGCTTTAACTAAAAGCTTTTGCGTTTTTTCCTTTGTCCAGCGTTGTATGCGTCCTTGCCGTGTGAACTGGTCGACAAAGTCTTGCACTGGATTCCATCGATACATTAACACTCGACAGGGCAAGCGCATGCATAATTCTTTCAGCCCATCCTCATCGATTTCGCGCTCCAAATCTTCACGTGTGGGTATCTGATGAAAGTAAAACGATTAAAAATTTATTGTTAGAAATGATGCGCAAATTGTAAATGAGTACTCACAAAATCCTCGACAAACATTTTATATATGCCTGGATTTTCTCGCCGTATTTCCTCGTTAATCCCATATTCTTCGTACACTTTTTCGGCCGTAAGGTCCTCCAAGCGAAATATCATGTTATTTATATCCATTTAAGGATTTTAAAAATTACACAAACTGCTAGTAAACAAACAAAAAGAGATTGTATTTTCCATTCTCGAATGAAGATTAATTTTGACATTTTGTTGTGATTCTTCTATTTTCCTGTCATACGCAATTTTAATTTAGTCCCGTTTCCGGTAGTGCATTTGGTCCCAAACGCGATTCCGGTTTCCTTTACCGTAGAATCACAACGCCTGCGAACAGCGAACAGCGAACTCACCACTCACCACAACGAAATTCCTGATGTCAAAATTAGAAGAGCCGCCGGCATATGAAATTAACACAGCCAATGCGAAGTGAGAAGTTTCCTCGGCGGCGTTTCGTGGCAATATATTTATTTCTATCGCTCTGCTGGGCGATAGTGCCAGTATATGCCAAAGGTGGCCGTATGCTTTTGTTTTTTTCTTTCAAAGATTTAGAAGAAAACAACATATAACACGAATTATATTTGTTCGTTGAAATATATGCGTAAAATGTGGCGCCATCACCAAATTCGCAGATCTTCGTTGGTTGCCGAGTATTGTGTTCCAAGCATTAGCGCATTTGGTCCCAAACCGATTCATTTTTTACAGTTTGTGGAACGTGGAACGTAATGCATTCCTGTTTGCGTGTAATGTCAAATCGCTGATAAATGTCAAATGCCAAGCAAACAGCCGCCGAAAGTTTCAAAACAAAGCGCGTCGATACCAAAATCATCCGCTTAAAAACAAATAAATGAGTGTTAAAGTTGAAATTTACTCTCCGCAATAAATAAATACAAATTTACATGTTCCGAATGCCGGCTTTGGCATATTTGTTGATTCGTTGCACCAAACGAAGGTGAGAGCCGGCATTGACTTGAGCCAGCATAGCAAGCAGCGACGTCTTGGTGGTAGCTATTGGAGCTCTAAACAAACAGCTGTGGAGTGGAGCGTTGAAGTGGGTTTTCAGCCAAGAGCAAAGCAGCTCGGTATACAAAACAAATGCATATTTATGTATGCGCTATTGACAATTCCAAACGAAAACAAACGATGTCTGGTTTTGGCTGCGGCCGTTTGGTTGATGAAGCAGGCAGCAGTTGCTGAGGCGTACATTTTCAGTTCCCTTTTGATTTTGTGCTTGAGTCAAGTTGAAACGTTTGTTGGAGCAGGTAGTGCGATCGCGAGTTTATGTTTCGAATTTTCATTATAAAATATTTATATTTTTAACGCGTATATTATAGTTGTGATACAGTGCATTCGTATTGTATTGTAAAATGATTTTAACTATTTAAGTGTGAAGTTTTTATAAAATTTGATTTAACTGCTATCGCGAAAGCCCACAAAATAAACAGAACGCAGCCGGCTGCAGGGCGTCCAATTTTGGGTACCTGCCTATCTACATACTTGCTACATTAATTTCACGATTCGCATCGTTGACCAAAACAAGGGTCGTCGCGTTGCTTGGAGCGTTGCGGGTAACACATATTGTTGAATGTAGTTCCGCCGTTTTTTATGACCATAAAAGTGTATAATGAAATTTTGAATAAGTGAGTTAAAAGTGGAGCAGCAAATGTTCATTACAAAGTTTTAATAAATGAGATATGAAAACTACAGTTAATTAGCGACAAGAATAATTGAATTGTTTTTGAAAAATTCTCATTAATATCAACAAATAAATAACGCGCCGCAGTGACGGCAGTTATAATCAATTAAATATGCAACGCGTAAACGCCTAAAGATCTTAACAGTGCATAAGTAACTCCGATTTACTAGCTATTTTTAAACAAAACTTATATTTGCAACTTCGGCTAAANATTGATTTACTAGCTATTTTTAAACAAAACTTATATTTGCAACTTCGGCTAAAGTGGAAACTAAAGGTTAGTAATCTTATATTAGTCATAATTATTTTTGAAAATAAAAAAAAGTTTTGTACCTAGATATTTACTTTATGCTAGTGCACTCATATATACAATACCCTCTATATGTAATTAGCTTCTGATAAGAGAATACACTTCTGACTTGACTTTCAACGATGATTTAAATGGTAATCTTATATAAATAGCATATTTAAGATGAAAGTAGAATTTAGGACTTCAAAGTAAAAAATAACATCAGAGATGTCAATTAAGTTACAGTTGAGCTTAAACATCTGAAACTAGTTTTTAAAAACACTTAACCCCCTTTTACTAAATATTTATTTAACTTGTTCGAAAAAAAATAATGTCGCTAGGGATTAATATGTTATTGCTAGTGATTTTCTAATTTTCATGGTATCAGAACTTCGGCTCTCCATGCATTGTTTGCCTTCGTTATGACAACCTTGATACCTGCTTACATACATACCTACATATGTATATACTTAAATGTTTACGTATGGTTTAAGCGCTTGATTGATTAAGCGCTTGTTTGATAGACAAAAAAATCCATTTTTCTCTAATTTACTTGCAGCGACATTTGAGGCCAGGAGAGTAGAAGTGGCCTAAACCAAACAATTTTTTTTTGTACTTACCGACTTAAAATATCTCAAATGTGATGTTGATTATTCCTTAATTTTCAGATACAGAGCTGCTTAACGTACCATCAAATTAGGGAATAAGCGACCTTTACTTATTTTAAAATTTATCACATTTGAAACTACATATATGTCGTTTAGGAAGTTAAGTAAAAAAAAAATATATCGATGGCTGAGTGGAAGATCGACCTATCTCGGCAGCCAGTTCAAAAACGCCCTATCTCAGAAAACTTTTCAAGAACGCCCTACTTCAGAATTTAATTGAAAAATGACTTATTTCAGCTTTATATTGAAAAACACCCTATCTCAGAATTCGGTTCAAAAACGCCCTATCTCAAACGAAAATACATTGAAAATAAGCTGAGATAGGGCGTTTCTGAATCGACAGCTGAGATAGGGCGTTTTTCAATCAAATTCTGAAGTGGGGCGTTCTTGAAAAGTTTTCTGAGATAGAGCGTTGTTCAAAAATTTTCTGAGATAGGGCGTTTTCGAACTGGCTGCCGAGATAGGTCGATCTTCTACTCAGCCATCGATATATACATATGTATATTTGTGGCTTAGGCCATTTCTGATCTCATGGCCTCATTTGATGGTTAGTGAAACACGTTTTTTTTTTTTCATCACCATATATGGGCATGATTTTATTTGTAAGTGTCTGGACATGCAATATCTTGATGTTGTAGACCACTGTATACTGTATGCTCTACTTTTTTTAGCGACATTCTTAAGTCCTTCCCAGTTTGTTTAGGCCCGCAATTGCTGTCGAAAAACTTAACCAACAAAGGTCACCAGAAATTGCTGTTTCCAAGGGGTATAACCGAAGGGAAAGTGGTTTTAGCTGATCGAATTTAAGAATATATTGCCGAAATCACTGCAAAATGCATGAACATGTAGTTTTGGAACTAATTAGTACTAAATACATGTTCCCACAAGGTACAGCTCCATATGCCCGAAATTGTCGAATCGGTGTGTACAAAATTCTGTGTTCATCGGGCCAAAGTGAGGCTTGCGCTCGAGGCTCATCTTTACAAGTTTTTTTTTCTCCAGTAAGCTCCACTGCTATTGTTATAAATAGAAGCTCCTCCAATTCTAACGCAAATAACCAATCGATCTTAAGAGCAACAAAACTATGTAACTAAATTCTTGAAAATATTTTTGCACTTATTCCTAGGTGGTTTTTCTATTTTTAATAAACAAAAGTATGAAAAGCACCAGAACCCAATCTTTAAAATACCTGAAATTTTTTGTACTAATTAAACCTGAAGTTATGCAAGCGACTGTAAATTAACATTTTGATAAAAATGGAATGTACATAAGTATGTACACACATATGTATGTGCATACGTAAGCATAAAAAACTGGAAATGTGAGAATTTATTTTGAAAAATATGTGCAGTGTAAAATATTATGCTGCATTGTCAACCTTTTTGCCAACTTAATTTGAATATTTTGGAAGTTTTTTTTTTATGGCTTTAGCGTATGTAGTCTTTACCGTTGTGATTGTGGTATGTGAAATAGCTGGAAGTAAATATAGATTCAAATATCCAGAGATGCAATTTTTTTCTAAAATATGTATGTAAATATTTATTGTAGATATTTTTTATTCTGTTTTGTTTGTTGTTAATTGAAATCACACAGTCTTTTGATGCCTGCTAGCATATTATCTTGTTTGGAAATAATAGTTGGGCTTTATTTTTTTTCTGGTATTAATTGCACAGCAAGTAAATATTTAAAAACCTATATACATTTCTTCTCGTTATTCCTCAAAAAAAAGGCGCCTATAATGAATAATTCCGTGCGTCAGTTGACCGATTAATTTAGCTTTCATTTTCGTAGAAGACGCAAGCGAGGCGAGATTTAAATGAATTTGCATATTTCGTATTGAAAGATGGTTTGTTTACATTTCTTGAACTATTTCCTTACCTCAGCTTTATTGTTGCACCAGGTCGGTTACCAGCAAGCAAAGTGATGAAGGCATTGAAAGCATAAGTAGGTAATAAAAAGTAGAAATTTATTGAAGATAAACTAAAAGTTAATACAGACGCATAAGTATACAAGAAACTTAAAGAAATGTAAAAGAGATAATAGTAAAAACATAAATTATAAGAAAAACGAACCATACGATTTATGTATAGAAAATTTATGTATAAAGCTTTTGATCTCAACCGTCAAATGACAGTGGCGCCGAGGGTTTGTAAGCTACCTGAAAGTGTTAATGACTCTTAATATCCATATAATGACCGCTTAAAGTAAAAAAGAAGAGCAAAAAAAAGTGATTTAATTTAAATAACAACAAAAATACTTGAACTTGAATATTTTGTGGGCCTCCAATGAAGGCCTTAGAAAATATCAATAATAAAAGTGGGATTACAGCATTTGAATACTTTTATTTGGTATTGTAAATTCTAATGGTTTGCCCATTGTATTTTAATGCGCAACGCACTTGGTCTCTGATGACTCAATGCTGTTGACAAAAGGAAAAAGAGTTTGCATTCAAAATTTTTTCGGATGCTCGTGTTGCAGTCCAACAATTTATTAGTCAGCTCTACCTTC